AAAATTTTTCAAAATACCAGTCTACAAAATATCCAAACCAGTAGTTAAAACCCTGGATTAGCCAGGCTAATGGGTCATCCAGGAAACCAATCCGAATCAGCGATTTAGCAATCTGGATTAGTAGATTGGTTTTCTCGAGCCCACCCAGACTTTAAACAATTTCAAAAAATTGCTAAAATTTCTCGAAACTCTAGTTTTTAAGTTTCCAAAAAGAAATGAAGGTATTGCATTATGGTTTTCATGGTTTTACCGAAAACAAGTAAATACTGAGAACTTATTTCATGTTTGAGTATTTGTTGACTATTACATCCATTTCACAGTCAAAATGAAGTTTCAAATGGAATTCATTGCAACACAATTGATCTATAAGAGGATACAATTATTAAGATATTATATTGTTATCACATATCAATATAGTGAATTCAAAATATTCAAGTTACATCACAGAATGACAATAATATACATTAAGCTCACTGACTACAACAATCATTTCATAAATACAGAAATAGTCACAAGTTACAAGTACTTGCTTGTGAGCAATGGAATATCAAGATATTCCTCTATGTTCTGAGGGGGAATGAGCGACTGTGATTGATTTGGGCACTGCTAATGCACATCAGTACAGAAAAATGTTACATTTTTTTTGTTAGTAACAAATACTATTTTATAGACAAAGATGAACTTTTTACATAAGATTTTCTGTAAATGTTAGCTTATAAGCTTTTATTTTATATATTATATAAAAGATTTTGTGTAGAAGTTTTATATAAGCTTTTGAATAAATGCAACTAGCTTATGTCAAAGCTTTGTATAAAATTTTGGTCAATACTTGTATGAGCTATATACAAAAGCTTATATAAGATTGAGCTTTATACAAAAGCTTATATAAGATAGAGCTTTATATAATGGAAGTCATTTATCGACGCACCAATTTCATAGGTTATACACATATCAATGTTGTGTAAATTATGGTTTTCAAATGAGTAGAGCTCCTACATTTCATTGTTTTGTGTGAGAAAGCGATAGGAAAGCTTTCAGTCAATAGTATAAGCTATATACAAACGCTTATACTAAGTAGCTTTATCTAAAAATTTGAAAGCCTTATAATCTGAATGTTACTAGCTTATATAAAAGCTAGTAGATTTGCTTATAAATGAATGTTAAAGCTTTATGTGCCTAGTTTATAAGTTTTAGTCCCACTCCGGGGAAGTAAGAGAGATTATTGAGAAGCAAATATAAAACTAGTTCACTCCACCGCTTTTTGTGCCTTGCCAAGGCCTTCGGGTTCCCCCATTGCAAATAGTGGGGGTGGGAACATCTCTCTCAAGAAGATTATGTTAATAAAAAGCTAAAATTTAAATTAAAAATTTTAAAAATAAAATTACAAAAAAATGAAAATGTGGGAACTAGGCCATCTGGCCAGTCCAGGTTGCCCGGTTCTTTCACAAGCCAGTTCTCTAGTTCTCTGACAGAATTGATAGATTCCATGGGCACAGGACTGATTCCCGGCTTTGACTCAAAACCAGCTTGGTCACCTCACCACTGGCTCCCAATTCTGTGAACATTGGCCAAAACTAATTATCTTCATGTTATACATATATTTTCTAATCATGTATTGTTGCTGCAGTTAGCCCTCGAACTTCGGTCATCACCCTCCAGCTTCTGTTTATTCATGATACATTAACCTTCTTTCAAGGTGAATATAGGATAGATAATTACACATTTCTTTACATTTTCTACAAAGTTCTTGCATGTAGGACAAATGCTGCCTTCCGTTTGGATACTTTCCTCCGAATGCAATCACTCTCTTCTTAGTGTGTAGGGCATGAGAGCTAACTTGCAGCGTACCCAACTTAAAAAAAAAGACAGAAGATAGCTTGATTGGGTCATATGGGACAAATTTAAGGTTTTGAACCCTTGACCTGCCTCACCCAAACTGATATGTCGACCGAAGCAAAAACCTAAGGAACAGGTAGCATTACAGAACTCAAAACGAAATTAAAAAATGTTACTAATCACCAGTAATGCTATTGTGAAGTAGTTTGAGGAGTTGCCACTAGGGGCAAAGAGGTTTCCTTGTGCACAGCTAGTCCAGAAGCTTCATTCGTGTCCAGATCCTCAGGATACTTTCCATCAGGCATTGCCCAATTGAAACAAAGCAAGACATTTGCCAATGCAAGCTCCACGATAGCCATTGCAAAGAAAATCCCAGGGCATCCCCTTCGCCCTGCCTCAAATGGTATCAGTGCAAAATCTTGGCCCCTGTAATCAATATTACTACCTACAAACCTTTCGGGTCTAAAGTCTTCAGGGTCTATCCAAGAGTATGGGTGCCTCCCAATTGCCCAAGCATTCACAAAAACTCTAGCCTTTGCAGGGATATGGTAGCCTTCTATGTTGCAGTCCTCTATCAATTCACGAGGAACCAACAATGGACTTGGAGGGTGTAACCGCAAGATCTCTTTCACCACTGCTTTTAGGTAATGGAGCTGGTGTAAGTCTCTCTCTTCTATCATGTTTGTGTTATTGCTTTTAGCTATGCCGCATACTTCGTCTTGGGCTTTTTTCATTGCCAATTGGTTCTTCATTAGCTCAGACATTCCCCATACTAGTGTTGTTGCAGTGGTAGCTGTCCCAGCTACAAACCTATCCTGCAAACATTTACAGTTCAGTGTGCAGCTTATAGCGCCTAACTAACAACAGCGCCATTAAAGGTGCTTGCGGTATATGTATATATAGATCATACGTTTCTGGTCATATCATACTTGATGACTCAAAACAAAGAATATGTGGTGACATATCATACTTTTCTGGTTATTACTAAATTTTAATGTTCGATGACCTTTGCCAGATGCATAGAAGGGGAAGTTTAAAACCTAACATTGGCTGAAATCAATGCCTCTGTCCTTTTTCTTTTTCTTTTTTTATATGTTGGCGAGAAGGGGTGGAGCTTATGTTGAGGCATCAGCCCCCTGAACCACCGACACCCCAAGCCCATTACCCACGCTAGTCAATCATAATTTGGTAAATATATTGTTCATTCTTGTTAGTTGAGCTGTAGGATTTCAAACATGCAGCAAAAATACCAAATACATTTATATATAATTGAATAATTGGAAAATGTTAGCAATTGCTTCTTTTTTAGTTGTACCAGATTTCAATATTAAAACTGCTTGGAGAAATTTCAAAAAAATTCAAATTCCAAGAAGCAGTGCAGAATTTTTATCGCTTGATAGGTTTTAGCAAACTATTGAAATTTTGACTGGTTGATAAGTGAAGCATACATAGAATACAGAACAAATTCAAATTACAGAGACAGAGAGATGAGTTGTGAAATGCCCTCATTCCCGGAGGAGGGGTTAGAGAATTGCAGAAAACAGTGAAATATGTTCAATTTGTTACCTACCATAACAACAGATTTGATGTTATCTGTAGAGAGGGTGAAATCAGGCGTGCCCTCTCTCAGGAGCTGCAGCAGTACATCCACCAAGTCCTTCTCCTCCTCCTCCTTCCCATGAGTAGCAAGAAGGTGCTCAGCGAATACTTTCTCAAGGAATGAATCCCTTTGGCTAGAGTGTTTCTCCCACC